TAGTTCATGCTGACGTAAGCATTTAGTTTTACAGGGAGACTCAATGATTGGTTGATACATCGTCAAACAGGGAACAATATGACGGGATGTAATCTTAGAGGGTTAAAAGAGACATTTTTGGACAAACCCAGAACTGGACGGACTGAATCTAGGCGGTCAGTGAGGTGCAGAGTGTTTGTCAGCACGATGTGGAGGTCTCCTGCCCCCTGGTGGCCACCAGCTGATTACTGCAGCTTTAATAGACTCTTTTAAACTCTTACAGTTTCTCACAGAGCAGGAAACCAAACAGCCACATTTGAATGGCGAAGATGGAGCTTACATGAATATACACACACACACACACTCTCTGGTGGTGTGCCGGTGACCCGCTGGGTTAGCCGGGCGGTTTCATGGCCTCACCTGACGCCTACAACAACATGGCTGAAAGTGTTTACGGCAGATCCTGTTACTCGCTGCAGCCGACACTTACCTGCAGGTGAAATGAAGTTACCTGAGAGTTACACTGAACTCTGAATGACCCCTCCACCTCCTCGTCCCTCCCCCCCACCACCTCACTCTGCTGCATTAATTATTCCCGGGACAATCACAGAGGATAGTGACAGGTGAGAGGACAGCCTAGTGTCTGTCCAGCCTTCGCAGACGACATCCACACGGATAAAGAGTGGGACGGGTTTCACTTTGAATACGCTTTCTGACGTCCTCGACACGCTCAACGTCACCTGGCGAACAAACAGCGACTACACACACTACTTTGTTGTCCTGGAAAATGTTAATTGTATTTTAGTCTTTGTGCATGTTACACCGCTTCCCAACCTTTTTCTTTAAAGGAGCCCTTTTCTATTACTGAGTAAACTAAGGGACATAATATTCAGAATATTATTTTTAACAATAATAATACAGAACAGCTGATAAACTGTAAAAAGTGAACTCAATAACTGCAGGAAGTTTGTGTGAATCCATATTTTTAGGAACTTTTTATAACTTAAGTTTTTATTTTTGACAGATTTAGTGTTTCCTTGTCATTGTTCTATCAGCTCTGTGGTTGTTTTCTGACGCTGGACGAGGAAACTGAAGGATCTATCGGTATAACTTGGTCTTCAAATTTTATTTCTCGCAAGGCCTTCTTGATTTTTAGTGCTGTAAGAAAACTTTAAATATAGACACAGTAGGTCGATGTCTCAGCAATTTGGTTCATTTCTTAAGAAAACTAAATTAAATAGTTTTTCTTTAAATTGTTTACATATTCTGTATGATTGTTAAAAAAGATTTTTTCTGTATGAACTGTATGAAAAGTTCCTAAAACATATCAGTAAAACTCATCTCTGATCAATATTCACAGGGAATAATCAAATCTCTGGTTTTACACAAACGTCCTGCAGTTAATGAGTTCTCTGCTGTTATTATTAAATATAAGTGTCACGGTCGGAGGTCGGCAGTTTACTCAATGATAGAAAACGGGTCCATGAAGGGAAAATGTTGGGAACTGCTGCCTTAAATTTACGAAGGCCTCCTGACCTTTTCTGGTGCTTTGGTGACCTCTAGAGGGTGTCCCAACCCTCAGGTTGAGAACCACTGTGTTAGAGGGAAACCGTCTAGGTTTAAATGATGATCACTGTGTGGAAGCTATTGTCAGAATAACTCCTGGAAAAGCATTTCTTAAAAAGAGTGGGAACCCTGTGCTGAGGTCTCTGTTGACTGTCAGTGAGAATCCATATTTGTAGGAATCGTGTAGTTTGAGCCATCGATTGTTCAGAGAGATGTTTCAGAGGTCGGCGCTGCAGCTTTCATGTTGGCTCAATCTGGAGTCCAAATCACAAACAGATGAGCGCGTTTCCAGCAGGAGGCGGCAGGTTCAGGGGTCCGAGGGCGCAGCTGAGGGAGTTTGAATGAGACTTTTAATTGGCAGCGACGGCGGCAACTGGCCGGTCAGACCTCTGACAGCAGCTGTATGGATTCAGACGAGACCGGTTTCATCAAGGAGTTAAAAACTAAATCTTTCTTCCACCGAGAATAAAAGTGAAATAAAAACGTAATCAGATCTAATCTGTAACATTTCCTCATTAAACAGTGTATAAGCTCTGGCTCTATGTTTCTATATGAAGTTGAGTTCTTACATTATCCCAAATGTTTCCAACAATGTTCAAACTCAGAGAAATCTGTCATTTTATTCAGGTAACGCTGCGTTTCACCGGTCAATGGGTCATATCTCCTTTGTGTCTGCGTCAGCGTTGTGGTTGTCTGCCAGAAGCTGTCATACATTGACTGTTTATCCAGTCTGAAGCCACATTTTTACCATCCACTGTTATCAGAGAAACAAGCTGAGCTAGGCTCATATTCTCCTTTTGTTTAGTGGCATAACTGGTACTTTCCATACTTTCAATTTAATTTCATTTTTGTTTGCATATATTGAAAAATTATTTTTTTTTATTACAGATTGTGTTGTAGTTTCATTGCTGTTCATCTGTTCAACTACAGCAACACAATCGAAATTATATCAGAATCACTTTAATCACAAATTTGAGCAATCAGCATTTTGTTGAGACCTTCAT